TTTGATAAAAGGGAATATTTCCAGATTGTGGAATTTTTATTTCTTCCTACATGAACGTCTATGCAGTGGAGTCACATAGTGTACATTTAACTTAGGAAAAGCCAGTTTATTTGATCAGCAAAAGATGGAAGGAGAAAAAAACAGCAAAATGCAAGTGAGGAAACGAGCACCTCATAGGCGTCATCTGCTTGCGGGACACACACTGTGGTCGTCGGCTAGGGAGTGTGAAGGCCTTTCCTCATTGGAAGTTCCCTCAAAGCTCTTACTGTAGATGTAGCTTATGTGGTCATGGATTCTTGTGTTCCAAGATACTGATTCCTCATGCCTCATGCCTCCCCAAGCTGACTCTTCATCTGGAGAACAGCTTTCTGGGATAATTTTGATGAATGATCACTATTGCTTACATGAGACTGTGCTAGTCATACCTGTGTTGTATATTAGAGGCATGAAGGGAAGTTGAGCCAATTTCTTGTCTGCTTTTGGTGGCTGTTAGTAAGGAGTAAGCCTTCATTGTCGTTCAAGTGGGAGTGGGTGGGGTTGCAGGCCACCCTGTGCTCTGCTTTGGAGAATGGGGAATAAAAGTGGAAATTGTGATCACCCTATCTTCATGGAGGAGGGTGAGGTGCCCTCATACCTGGGGGATAAGAAGCAGCTTTTGGAGGAGTTTGTCCAGTATTCTTCTTTGCAAGGCATGTGGGAAGGTCTTGCATAGTATTGGTATTTTGTTGGTACAGAATAGATGTAGGAAAACACTGTGAAATGTTGGTCATTCAATTAGAGCTGCAGATCAAGAATCGGTGAAAAAATTATGTTTTAAAAGGAATTAATGCCATACTTTAATAGTAGAAGCCTTCGACTCACCTTCTTCCGACTACTACATGAGAATTATTAGATGTTAATATTAAATGTTTGTACAGTGCACAGTAGCTTTGACCAAGTTATTAAGTATTTAAATATTTTCACTGAAAATATAAGCAAACTATAAGCAGACTCACTTTCAAAAGATGTGGAAGTCATATATTTTACTGAACTAAATAACTTTCTCTTGTGATTTGGGTTTTGTCTTATTTCAGGCTTAGATGCCACAGGATCTTTTTTCTCTCGATATGGAGCGTCTCTTAAGGAGCTTGATTTTAGCATCATGACTTTTCTCTGGAATGAGAAATACGGTAACAAACTAGGTTCTATCGAAGGAAAGCAGCTCGATTATTTCTATGAGCCCACATCGCTAAAGGAAGCACGCTGTTTAATATGGCTCCTGGAAGAGCACAGAGACAAATTCCCAGCCTTGCACAATGCTTTAGATGAATTCTTCGATATAATGGGTATGTGAAACAGATTTACATTGATGTCTAATCTGAGAGGTGGAGGCAATCTTTGTAAAGGATCTAGCTTATTTTGATACTTAATGTAGGAAATAGTGAAAATTTATGACACACCTGGAGATGTTTGGGGGGGAGCAGTGATTGACAATCTTGTAATGAATGAAATGGGAAGAAGTGCTAAGGGCTTCCAAGGAAGTCCCTCCAGTTTGATTCTTCCAGTAACAGGAAAGCTGGGAAACAGGGTAGTTTGAGGGGCACTGCAGATGTGGAGGTGGAATTGGTGCTCTGGAGCTAGAGAAGTGGGTGGAAGGAAGTGGCTGCCAGGGAGCCTGGCCAAACAGGCCAACCAGCAGCTTGCTCTGTAGCCCCTCGGACTTTCTTCACCTTTGTAATGAAATTATTTGATCTGTGTGATCCTGATTTTCCTCAGAATTCTAATATTCTTCAATTCTAAGTTGCTTTTAGCTTTTTTAAAAAAATAATTTATTTATTGAGAATGTCATACATGCATATAAGGTGTTTTGATTAAATCCATGCCCACTCCCTCCCCTCCAGCTCCTCCCATATCTCCCCATCACTTTTTCTGATAACTTCATCTACTCTTTCTTCTTCTTTATTTTTAATGGGGCTTTTGGCTACTCTAACATTTCCCCCTCTGAAGGGGTAACCCTAAAATCCTTTAAGGATTAGATAAAAGTTCCCAAATATTTTTGACATTTTTGGCCTTTGGAATGGAGTATGTTGCTAAGAGGCCCAAGGACATTGTGAGTTTTAGCCAAGAAACTGGCTACTTTTCTTTAGGGTCTTTTTATCCTAACTGCCTAGCCAATTCCTACCTCCTGTTCTTATCATACCATCCTATGAAGGGGTTACCCAAATTGTCAATAGGGAATCAGGACGCAGACCGTTCTGGCTTCTTCCGTGCTGAACAGGGACTCAGGGTGAGGCAATTGGGGTACCCCTTCCGTGGGTTTATCTAAAAGACTCCCAAATTGGGTAATTCTCATCTCAAGGAGGAAAAGAGTCCTTGAATCATGAATAGTAGATGTGAAGGAGAAGTAAAAGCAAGAGTAATTAGCATTACAAGTTCCAGACAGGGAACTAGAAAAAAGTCCGGAACAGGGCAATTTTCAAATGTTCATGAGAGTCCATTGGAATTTCTTGACATGGGTTTATCTAAAAGACTCCCAAATTGGGTAATTCTCATCTCAAGGAGGAAAAGAGTCCTTGAATCATGAATAGTAGATGTGAAGGAGAAGTAAAAGCAAGAGTAATTAGCATTACAAGTTCCAGACAGGGAACTAGAAAAAAGTCCGGAACAGGGCAATTTTCAAATGTTCATGAGAGTCCATTGGAATTTCTTGACAAGAGCTTCCAAAAGCATCCCTCTGTTGGGTTCCTCCTCATTTTTCTTTTGTCTGCCAAGGCTGCAAGATTTGAAGTCTTAGATCTGAGCAGCACTTTCTGGTTAGGAATAAAATCACCAATGAGAAATAATTAACTTATTATATAGACTTAAGCCTAATGTCTGGGAAGTGTAATCCCTGAACTCTTAAAGAAATATACTGATGACTTTACTCTTTGGTTATACTTTCCTTTTGGGTGTTTAAGACCATACAGTTGGCCCAAATAAATCAATTTATATTTACATTTAAGGTCACTTGAGGATCTGTTCCTCAGGGGTCACATGGGCTTGGGAGGGTGCTTTTAGCTTCTTATCTTCTGTTCTCTGTGCCACCCTATGGTACTTGCTCCCTCCTCCCCTCCCCCTTAGCATCAAAAGTCAGATGTGTTAGGAGCGAGACCTCCAGATTTCATGCTGTTTTTAAGGGTACTTTGAAGGGTTTGACCCTGTGTTGCTGTCATTCATTATCAGAATAAGGAACCTACTTTTAGTTCATTTTCAGGGAAGTTCCATTTACATAGATGGTTTGTCTTCCTAGATACCCTTCCTGTCTGAAAGTGGCTTCCTGCTGGGTAGCCTAAACTTACTGGAATGAGTTTGATTCTGGTGATAACAAACACAGTCCTGAGACAAAGCTTGCAGAACGCAGTCACACCAGACTGACACGTCCCTCCGTGTGCTCTGCATTCTTGCCCTTCTTACATTCAGTACCCGGATACTTAGTGCATCCAGCTGCTGCTGTAGCTCTGCTTTTAGTGACAGAAGTAGAAGCCACCAGCCAAATTCCTGGCCATCTCATCAGATTTTCAAGTCCAGTAGTCTTCCATTTACTGAGAACTTTCCAGTTTCTCTCCTCTCATGTAAAGAAAGTGTATATTTCTTAGAGCTTTTAACACCCATGGGTCTTGATAATCAGGCTTTTTGCTGCCTTCACCAGGGGTAGGATAATTGGGAGCCTCCGCTGTCCTGTGCTCAGGATGCATATCCACAGAGTTGTGATCCAGGAACCCAAAGGCCCCTTAAAAGAAATATGGCTGAACACACTTATCACAGCTCAGAGACCTGTTCTTCCTAAGTTTAACGTGGTAGTATCATTGTTATATACCTAATTTTTTTAATTAGAAGAAGTATTTCATAGCACTGACATATTCAATAACAATCTCCAGAGCTAAGATGCATCTCTTAGAAAATTGGCTATAAATTTTTAGGTTTTTCAGTTGAATACAGGTATACATTATTGTACTTAGTATAAACCCTATACTAGCCGGGCATGGTGGCACACGCCTGTAGTCCCAGCACTTGGGAGGGAGGCAGAGACAGGCGGATCTCTGTGAGTTCAAGGCCAGCCTGGTCTACATAGTGAGTTCCAGGACAGCTGGGGCTACAGAGAGACCCTGTCTCAAAAAGACCAAAAAAAAAATAATCTCCATTTCATTTTAAAATATGTTGTTTCATACAGAAAAACTCATTTTTAATGCAACTAACACTTAGATGTTTGCACATGCGTCTCTAATCTCTATATATCTGATTCTTACTAGTCATAGTCAGTTATTGTCTAAGATCCTTGGCACCTGAGCATGGATATAAAATCATCAGGTAGATTTCAATGGTAATGTTTTTCACATCTGCTAATTAACGTGAAGCAAATATTTATGCTTTTTCCTCAAATATAACTCATTTTTTAATTTATTGATTTTTTTTTTTTTAGTATATTTCATACAGAACATCCCATACAGTCTTACTCATCTATATACCCACATCCCAAGTGACATCCTTCCACCCCACACACACACTGGAGCCCATATATCGTCCACTGTGTTGTCAGTGCTCCCAGCTGTTCCCCAGTGCTAGTCCATTTGCTGAGTCTAGTCAACCTGTCTTGAGTTCCTTGTTTTAGGGAGATCAGCTCTTCCTCATCTAGCAGCAAGCTGTTGTCAATATTCCTTTAGATAAGATTGGGGTCTGCTGTTCATTTCCCAGTTCTATGCTGGGTTACTATATGGGAATCTCTTCGGCCACCCTGGCCAACAACTCAAAGAAGGTATCTCCTGTCTGGCATTGTTTCTTGTTATGTAGCCTTTAACTATACACATGGACTCTTAAAGAATTATATTGATCCAGGGGCTGGAGAGATAGCTTAGCGGTTAAGAACACTAGTTGTTCTTGCAGAAGACCCTAGTTTGAATCCCAGCACCCACATGGCAGCTAACAGCTGTCTGTAACTCCAGTCCAAGGGGATCTGACACCCTCTTCTGACCTCCGCAGGCCTTGCACGACACGGGTGTACTTACCTACATGCAGGCAATATACGCATACACATAAAATACTTTCCTATTAGGTGTTTAAGATCATGCAGTTGGCCCAGATAAACCAATTTTTTTTTCACTCTTAAGATCGTTTGAGTATCTGTTCCTCAGGGCTTGCATGGGCTTGGGAGGAGCCCCTGGTTCCTTTCCTCTACTAGTTCCATCTATATGTGAAGATAAGTCAAAGGTCCTAGTCCTCTTAAGTTGACCCTCCTCTTTGTTGCCTTGGTTTTTGTTTGTTTCTTGTTTTTTTTTTCGGGGGGGGAGGGGCTTGGATTTTGTCCCTTTTTTTTTTTTCCCCCAGAGCTGAGGACCAAACCCAGGGCCTTGCACTTGCTAGGGAAGTGCTCTACCACTGAGCTAAATCCCCAACCCCAACCCTCCTCTTTGTAGACTGGACACTGGTTCAAGTCCATCTGGTGGGGTCTCCACAGCCTCCTTGATCAAGAGGACAGGTGACTCACCACAGTTAAAGGACATTTGAGAGATGCTCATAGTTCCCTGGAACTTAGTCAACCTAGGAGGGCAAGGAGCAAAAACTGTCCTTTTTGTCCCTCTGGCCAAATTAGTACAGGCCTCAAAGTATGGCTGTTAAACCTCCAAGAAGGTTAGTTCCACCAGTCCGGTACTTTTAATTACCATGTGCCATGTAGATAAAGCTTGGGCAAAGACCAAACATTCTCAGATAACTCTTGCCTAGTCGGGTATTATGTTCCTTGATCTAGTTGTATGTATAATTTGTCAGTAAGTTGTTGGACTAATATGGTTCCCTCTGGTTTTTTTTAAAACTAGCTAGGCATTATTTATCTCTCACATTGTCTGACCCTTCCACCATGGTTTCCCCATTTAAGGTGCCCCAATTTTTCCCTTAATACCCTTCTGTGGTCCCACCTCTCTTGAGCTCCTTCTTTCCCTTTATCCCCTAGGTTCCTTGTATAATCCTCCCTCTCCCCTCCCCTTAAAATAACTCCATTTTTATCCATATCTCCCTTTTCAACACCTGTTTCCTACTGTTCTCTTTCAGATTCTTTCTTTTCCTTTACCTCACTGGTTCCTTTTCATTATCCTGGTTCCTGTAGTTATGTCTGGATACATATTTACTTGTCAGGATTTGGTGCTAGAATCCACATACATTGTTTTCTGAGTCTGTGTTACTTCACTTAGTATAACAGTTTCTAGTTCCAATCATTTACCTGAAAATTTTATTGTTTCATTTTTCCTTAGTGCCGAGTACAACTCCATTGTGTAAATGTATCACATTTTCATTATCCATTATCAGTTGGGGGAC